TCCCCCGCAGCCCCCCCGGGCTCACGTCTCCACCGTCGACGCCAACGAGAGCGAGGAGGTTCGGCAGTTCCGGCGCCTCTTCACCCAGCTGGCCGGGGAGGTGAGGGATCCGCCGGGATCCACCGGGATCCACCGGGATCCACCGGGATCCAGTGGGGTCCATCCGAGCCTTGGGAACCCCCAGGGGATCCACCAGGATCCACCGGGATCCATCCGAGCCTTGGGAACCCCTCGGAACCCCCAGGGATCCACTGGGATCCACCGGGATCCGCCGGGATCCATCCGAGCTCTGGGAACCCCTCGGAACCCTTCAGGATCCACCAGGATCCGCCCAACCTCTGGGAACCCCCCCGGGATCCTCCGGGATCCGCTGGGATCCATCCGAGCCTTGGGAACCCCCCGGGATCCACTGGGGTCCATCCAAGCCTTGGGAACCCCTCGGGACCCCCAGGGATCCACCAGGATCCACCCAAGCTCTGGGAACCCCTTGGAATCCTTTGGGACCCCCTGGAATCCTCCTGAGCTCTGGGAACCCCCCGGGATCCACCGGGATCCATCCGAGCTCTGGGAACCCCTCGGAACCCCCAGGGATCCTTTGGGACCCCCTGGGATCCACCCGAGCTCTGGGAACCCCCCGGGATCCACCGGGATCCACCCGAGCCTTGGGAACCTCTTGGAACCCCCAGGGATCCACCGGGATCCAGTGGGATCCACCCGAGCCTTGGGAACCCTCCGGGATCCTCCAGGATCCATCCGAGCCTTGGGAACCCTCCGGGATCCTCCAGGATCCATCTGAGCCTTGGGAACCCCTCAGAACCCCCAGGGATCCGCCGGGATCCATCGGGATCCATCCGAGCCTTGGGAACCCTCCAGGATCCTCCAGGATCCATCCGAGCCTTGGGAACCCCCCGGGATCCACCGGGATCCAGTGGGATCCAGTGGGGTCCATCCGAGCCTTGGGAACCCCTCGGAACCCCCAGGGATCCTTTGGGACCCCCTGGAATCCTCCTGAGCTCTGGGAACCCCCCGGGATCCACTGGGGTCCATCCAAGCCTTGGGAACCCCTCGGAACCCCCAGGGATCCACCGGGATCCACCGGGATCCATCCAAACCTTGGGAACCCCTCAGAACCCCCAGGGATCCATCCAAGCCTTGGGAACCCTCCAGGATCCTTTAGAACCCCCCGGGATCCTCCAGGATTCACCGGGATCCACCCGAGCCTTGGGAACCCCCCGGGATCCACTGGGGTCCATCCGAGCCTTGGGAACCCCCCGGGATCCACTGGGATCTCCCCCAGGGGTTGGGATCAGGATTTTGGGGCCCCCTGAGCTTTAGGATTGGGGATTTTGGGGCTCCCCAATATTCAGGATCAGGATTTTGGGGTTCCCCAATATTCAGGATCAGGATTTTGGGGCTCCCTGAGCTTTAGGATCAGGATTTTGGGGTTCCCCGAGGTTTAGGATCAGGATTTTGGGCTCCCCAATATTCAGGATCAGGATTTTGGGGTTCCCAATATTCAGGATCAGGATTTTGGGGTTCCCAATATTTAGGATCAGGATTTTGGGGCCCCCTGAGCTTTAGGATTGGGGATTTTGGGGTTCCCCAATATTCAGGATCAGGATTTTGGGGCTCCCCAAGGTTTGGGATCAGGATTTTGGGGTTCCCCAAGGTTTGGGATCAGGATTTTGGGGTTCCCCAATATTCAGGATCAGGATTTTGGGGTTCCCTGAGCTTTAGGATCAGGATTTTGGGGTTCCCAATATTTAGGATCAGGGTTTTGGGGCTCCCTGAGCTTTAGGATCAGGATTTTGGGGCTCCCTGAGCTTTAGGATCAGGATTTTGAGGTTCCCAATATTCAGGATCAGGATTTTGGGGTTCCCCATGTTTAGGATCAGGATTTTGGGGTTCCTGACCCCCCTTTCCCCCCCAGGACATGGAGGTGAGCCCCACTGAGCTCATGAACATCCTCAACAGAGTCGTCACCCGCCGTGAGTGCCCCCCAAAAACCCAGCTCAGGGGGCGGATTTTGGGGTGCCGGAGACTCCTGAGGGGTCCCCGATGATTTTGGGGACCCCCCAAAACCCCAAACCCCCCCCCAAAATCCCCCC